TCTAGGTGGCAGCTTTTTCTCTGCGCTTACGTTTATTTATGTTTATTTTCGAAAACGCTAAGGAAAGTACACGTACAGCCTAAGCCACATAGCAATGACTAAATTACGTCAATTTTTTATATTTTTTATAAGATTCAATTTAATAAAGGAAGTATTACTAATTCACAAGAGCAGATCAGTTATTATACCAAGTAAAAATACATATGACTTGTTAAGACTAAAGGTTTGTCTCTTTAAAAAGTTATTAGATAAAAGAGTAAGACAGACCAAAAAAACAGAGAAAATTCCAAACCAAACCACGAACTTAAAAAAGAAAAAAGACACATTTATTTAAAACGATGTACATTTGTATTTCACAAGGAAAACGAAAAATTTTAGAAACTAAATAGGTACTATAAATATTGTCATAATATGAAAATTGTGCACGATTTTTGGGAAAACTTTACAAGATGTAAAAATTTTTTGTGATATTGGAAAAGTTCTATGTTTGTCCTTTGATAACTTTTGTAGTTGTTATTTCAGTCAAAAATAATGAATGCCGTTATTATGGTCAGTTCAATGCTTCCTATCAATTCAATATTTTTTGTTGTTACGCGTCACTTTTTGATCACCGCTCCTCATTTGTATCCCAGCCTTCGATGGCTGAAAAAAAAACGGCATTGACTTCTTCCAACATAATTTTGGCAGTAGGCGCTGCGCTTCTATAAGCCGATTCTGAACAAAACTTACACAATTTTTAATATATTAATTTTGTGGAATCAGAAAAAGCTAAGTCGAGGTCATTTGCAATCGCAAGTATTCCATCTCTTAGCAGTAAAAAAATTCAACCTCCATAAAATCCTTTCCCTGTTTATTAGAGACTTAAGAAATTAATTTTTTTTCTAATTAATTTGCCCAGCCCATACAAAATTCGTTTATTATTTCACTTATTTTACTCGCAAGATATGTCCGTTTAACGCAAACACATACATTTTTGCCACTCTTTCACCTCTCCAGCATTCATCATCATAAGTTGTCAGCTTCAACAGCGTCAGAAATTAAATTTCCATCATTATAATTCCTATTAATTCGCGTAAATTGTATATAATTACTTTGTGCGCGAGTCTACAACCGTCAAACTCTAGACAGCCTGCTGCTGGATGCGCAGCGCAATGAGATGTAACTGCAGCGGGGGAGGGGGAGTGGGGAGTGGTTTGTGAGGTTAAACGACCATTCGCATTGAATTAAAGAAACCCAGTTTCTCTGCTCTCACACTTCGCCAAGCTCACGCGCACACCCACATATTCTCGTTTTTTTTTTAACGCCACAGCAGCCATTTACACAAACCGCCAATTCGCTCTCTCATTATGTCAGAGCGCACCAATTAGTCAGTCGTTACTTTCGGTGTGTCTGTTCATAGTCGCAGAGTTGCCACAATGCGTATGTACATAGGTAGGTACTACCACCACCCACTCATCTCGATTGCCTTCCATTTTTTGCAAACATCCTTCGGCTCGTCCTGCTTGTTGGTCGCTTAAGTCGCCTTATACTCGTACCACTATATCTTTCATACTCTCATTGTTACGATAATTCTAATTAGTGCTGAAGCACTAATTGAATTTTGTCTTTTGCTCTTTGCTTCTTGTTCTTGATTCTGTGTCGTTTCGCTCTCGTAGTTTATGTATGTGTCAGTGCTGCCATAATTTCTGTGTGCTTTCATTTTAATTATTTATGTGTACAGCTTTTTTTCTTTACTAATGAGCAGCGGCGCCATTTTGTTTCATCTTACGCTGGTGTTATAAGTATTTCAGTGTTGTTGTAGCAATTAAGCTCGTTGAAATGCAATTAAGTGCGGGCGTTGTGTGGATGAGGGCGGGTGTCGGTCAGATTTTCTCCTATTTTTGCTACATTTTGCATTTGTCGCAATTTGTATTTAAATAAAGGAAAAAATTATCAAAAATTGCAATAAATATACCTAAAGCATTCTTAGTTATAAAAGTTATGCTTTATCCACGTATTTATGTATTACACTTTGCAAAAGTTTCAGGGTCATTGTCTAGGGGCGGTATGATTCCAACGCAAGAATCAGAGGCCTAATTTGCCTGAGTGTTTTTACAATAAGTGAAAAGGGGTTAAATTCACAATACATAGAGCAAAATATGTTATTTTGGTTGAGTAAAATTCCACAAGGAATAATTTCGNTGCGGGCGTTGTGTGGATGAGGGCGGGTGTCGGTCAGATTTTCTCCTATTGTTGCTACATTTTGCATCTTTCGCAATTTGTATTTAAATAAAGGAAAAAAATATCAAAAATTGCAATAAATATACCTCAAGCATTCTTAGTTATAAAAGTTATGCTTTATCTACGTATTTATGTATTACACTTTTCAAAAGCTTCAGGGTCATTGTCTAGGAGCGGTATGATTCCAACGCATGAATGAGAGGCCTAATTTGCCTGAGTGTTTTTACAATAAGTGAAAAGGGGTTAAATTCACAATACATAGAGCAAAATATGTTATTTTGGTTGAGTAATTCCACAAGGAATAATTTTTTAGAACATTTTAACCTACCCGCTCTCTTACGAATGGGTCCTTTTGAACCCTTTTTTGAAATGACTGAATAAAATGGCGTTTGAGTGGTCGCTAAAGGGTTAACATATTCTAGGTAATTATATATAAATATATATATATATATATTTTTTTNGTAGAACATTTTAACCTACCCGCTCTCTTACGAATGGGTCCTTTTGAACCCTTTTTTGAAATGACTGAATAAAATGGCGTTTGAGTGGTCGCTAAAGGGTTAACATATTCTAGGTAATTATATATAAATATATATATATATATATTTTTTTTAATTGGCGCTTACACATATGTTAGTGTTTGGCCGAGCTTCTCCTCCGATTTGTGGTGTGCGCCTTTATGTTGTCACACAAAGCGGAGGGACCTACAGTTTTACGCCGACTCCGAACGGCGTTTGTATTTTTATGAGAAGCCGTTTTTCATGGCAGAAATACACTCGGAGGAGTGCCATTGCCTGCCGAGGGACGACCGCTGTTAAGAAAAAACCTTTTTCTATATTTTTTGCGATGTTTCTTTGACCAGGGTTTGAACCCAGGTGCTGATGAGTGAAAGCGCGCAGTGCTTACCACGACACCACAGCGGCCGACGAATATATATGCCCCCTTGAAATACGCATACGCATTCATAAATATCAGTAACGGTAATCGTTATGAGTAAAATAGTTTAAATTAGCATTTAATCATTATTTTATGAATTTTATTTGTTTCGCATAAAAATAATAATTATTATTGAGTTTAAATTTTTCGCTCAACGAAAATAATTATTAGATATTCAGTTGAGGAATGTACTGCGACCAAGAGATCTATTGTGCCTTCTTTCTCCTTACAACCCTTACAACTTAGTGACCCTAGGCATTTCTTTCGTCACCTCGCCACTGCATCGCATTCGAGGATTATGTGCCCAGAAGTTTCGGCAGTCCTATCACAGAAACGGCATGATCAGTGAACCAGGTCCCAAGTTTTTGTAGGTGACTTCTCAATCTGCAATGACCTGTTATGATACCTGTTAAAGTTATTAATTTTTTATTTCAGAGGTTAATATGTTTTTCATATCTTTTCGTATTATATCCCTCCAATAGTTTCTTTGCCTGGCGCTGCCCAGTGACTTGGTTCCAGTTCAGTTCTCTATTTACTCTTTCTTCTCTCCTATCCGCTTTTTTGATGATGTGCGGTCGTACTGCAAAGAAGGGCTCAGGTCGCTTCCCTGGCGAGCCTGTCTGCTTCCTCATTTCCTTCAAGATTATTTTATGATTTTTATGTTCTCGCTTGGAGATAATATTTATTATCGATTTTATTTTTCCACTTGAAAAAAATTATCCTTACTAATATTATGAATCCGAAATTGAGTTTTTTTTGTTTGTTATGCTTTCACGCGTTAACTCCTTAACCTAGCATCATGAAATTTTGTACAATAGCGCCATTTAGCCCAACTTAAAATATAGGGTGGATTTAATCTTGATTAGATAAAGGGGCGTGGCACCTCTCATGCAAACGCTATTTTTCATACTGCATATCACAAACAATATTTGTGATAGAGTACTGGAACTTGATATGGAGATATATAAAATCAATTCCATACTCATGGAGGAGGGTTGCCACCTGTTTAAGAAATTACAAAAATTGAATTTAGGGAATTATTTATTTGAAATTTGTTTAAACATATGTTTGTCACACGAAAAATCCCTATAAAGTTTGTAATTTCAAAATATTTTAAAAAGGGTTGCCAGCTGTTTGAAAAGTCGAATTTAAATTAGTTATACGCAAGCTATATGAAAAACTTTAAAAAAGAAAGGCTGTCAAGAGACCTTCAGATTGAAGATTTAGAATATTATTAAAGTGTTTTAGAAGGGTTGCCACGCGTTTAAAAATTAAATTCAATTAATTTTAATGAATTACTACAATATTTTCAAGATGGTTTCAAAAATTTTAAATCTCCTGTTCTTGCCATAGTTTAAGTAAGTTGAAGTAAATTACACCTAATGTAGCACGCGACATTTCATACACTCAGCGAAGGTATCTATAAAATTTAAAAGGCCATAGAGACGCAACCAACTGATATTTCGACTTTCATGTTCTTTGTGTGTGTTGTCTGAGAATACCCCTAGCGAAATTTTCCGGCGAATAATTTTCTATATCATTTCAACCCTTTGGTGACCACCCAAATGCCACTTTAAGCAGACTTTCCAAAAATAGGGTCAAAATTGCCTTTCTTGAGAGAGATAATGGCTTAAAATATCCTAAAGAATTATTCCTCGTGCAATTTGACTAAAACGAAAAATTTGCAAATATAAAATGGCCGTAAAAAAAATGTACCTGACAATGCAAAAGAACTTGTTTAACTAACCTGCAAAAATCATGTTGCACTGTGTTATTATTGAAAATATCTAAAATTCAAATGATTTACAATAAAATAATAAACTCAAACCTTTCCTCTTTTTCAGGTTTGGTTCCAAAACCGACGCGCCAAATGGCGTCGCCAGGAGAAATCGGAAAGCCTCCGCTTAGGCCTCACTCACTTCACTCAACTGCCACATCGTCTTGGTTGCGGCGCCGGCGGACTGCCGGTTGATCCTTGGCTATCACCGCCACTACTTTCGGCTCTGCCAGGTAACTATCATCGAATTTGCCTCCTTCAATTAAGTACCACTTTACTATTTTTTAATTCACATTCAAGTTTTTCTCTATTCACATCCAACTTCGTCCTTCGGCAGGTTTCCTTTCGCACCCACAGACCGTCTATCCCAGCTATTTGACGCCCCCACTTAGTTTGGCTCCATCCAATTTGACTATGAGTAGCCTGGCAGCCATGGGTCATGGGCCACATGGCCCGGCTATGCATCCATCACCTCACACCGGTCATCCAGGTGCACCACCACCGCCATCGGTACTAAGCGCTGCTGGCCACCCTGGTCATCATGTACAATTGTCACATTTATCACCACATCTGTCACGCATGTCACCACAGAGTTTGGCCACAATGCCACCACAGCTGAGTTCATCAACTCCAACATCGTCCATATCGTCATCGTCCGTATCATCGTCATCTATGACATCAGCGATTGCGAATGCTGTCGCCCCAGCGTCCATTCCTTCGAGCGGTGTGGGCTTAGCAGCGCTTTCGCCGCTGTCGTCCAGCATATCTGCGCTGCCGCCACCTCTAGCAGCCGCTTCGTCTGCAACCGCGCTCAATTCGTTATCACCACCACCACCACCACCACGCGCCACTCCAGCAACTAATTCGGAGCAGTCACCACAAAATCTCACCACAAATAACGATGCAAATGAAGCAATGCTTGTGGGCAGCAATGGCGGCAATGGAAATGGTAGTAGCAAGTGCAGTGCAGCAGCCAGCATGGAATTGCTTGATGTGGGACGGGATAGCCCACCGCCTGGTCATGCGCTGAGCAGCAATGTATCCGCCAATGCCATCAGTCGGCAGTCGCCAATTTCGGCAAGTCAACCGCAGACAGCGGATATACGCTCCAATTCTATAGCAACGTTGCGCATCAAAGCGAAAGAGCATTTGGAAAGCATCAACAAAGGACTGGCTATGGTCTGAACGGTGGGTGAACATGCAACCCACAGCTCGCTCCACCCAGCGGCAGTAATCGGAAAGAGTAGATACGCACACACGTCAACATGCTTTTCTGTTTAAAATTGCATTTGTAATTGATTTGTTGGTTTGCAGCAATTAGTGATTTTAATTAGTAAATAATTGTCGTATTTTAATAGGAACCAAATGTAAGCAAAATCAACATGCACCTAAACAAAACAACTATGTACATATACATATGTATATGTATGTATGTATATGTATGTAGAATACTATGTACATATGCTTAATATCCATTAGTCTATAGAACTAGCCTCTAGATAAAAGTTTAGGATAAAATTCTGCCTATGAAGGCGCCTCTGTGCTGTAGTACTTATTATCGTATGATATTTGAATTAAATGCACATATGTACGTATGTACATATGTACCTTCATACGAATACGCTATGTATTTATATTGCAACTGTGCTAAATGTACTGCTTAAATCAAAATATTCTACTGATACATAGTATGTGTTTCTCAGTTCCATTAATTTTAGCTCTTACAACTACATATGTACATAATAAGTACTCGTATGTTTGTATTATTAGAATTAGTAGAGAAAAGAATCTCGCAATTATTGTAAATATAAAAGTTTTTAATAAAATGAGTATGTAATTTAGTAATGTTTAGTAATGTAGACACCTACATACATAATTATGTATGCATGTATGTAGTTATTGTGAATACACATTCCACTCACTTGCTATATGTATATGTATAGTTTAAATTAGTGTACTATAAATAAATTCTTGATTAGTAACAAAGCTTTCTGAGTTCGATTTTTTAATTATTGAGCAAGAAATACAGTCAAATGGGATTAATCGTTATTCGTTAAAAGCTTGGCGTCAATTCGAAACACAAAATGGAAATCCTTTATGTTTTCTAATTATTAGGATACTGGTTAGCCACAAATAATAATTAAACTTTGCAGTTGGTTATAAAAAATAAAAAATTAAAGGTCGTTAAAAACAAGTTTAAATAAATATGTTTTTTTGTATATTAGAAAAAATTTACATGTGTATGTATATTGCACATTTCTTTCTTTCTGGAATTTCCTCTATTAAGTTTCACTTCTTCCGCGCGTAGGGACTACACGCACTGTGTTTTTTTTTCTTACATTTTTGCGCCGAGTCACGAAAAGCAGGAGGTTGTTAAGTGTCGAGAAACTATTCAGCTGCCTTACCAAATTCATCAGCTGATTATTATGCAAGAATGATAGAATACAAGATTGCGCCAATCGAGCTGGGAGCAACTGGCCGTGACGTCAATAAATACCAGAATGATAGAGCAAGACGAACTCGAAAAGAAAAAGAGAAAGCATTGAACAAACGGCAGTATTGCCAAGTTTTGAATTTGAAAAAGCACCAAATTTTTATTGTTATATTTTATGGACTTTATATACATACATTATTTTATTGTAAGGATTCCGATTCAAATTAATAAAAATCAATGTTTCTTGCACGACGGCCGATTTCTTCTGGCATGATTGAAGGTGCTGCCACATATTTTGTTGTCGCTTATGTCACTGTGCCATGATTTTGTAAAAATTTTTGTAAATTTGCTTACCACGCTTACGATTGCTATAAATTTTGCTTCCATTTTTTTAAGATTTTCTAATTTGGTGTCTTCAAACTAAAAACAAAAGCACCAAAAACGCACCAAGCACCAAACTCAAAAATTGAATTTTGAATACCCACTAAATTTGGCGCGAAATGCATCAAGTTGGCAACAGTGAATGTAAACAAAAGTATTTTATGACGTCAGCGATGGGGTGGTTGCTGTGAAATCGACGAAGAGAGGGTTAGCGTTCCGCGAATGGCGCGACCTCTATTTTCTGGATCGTGATTATTATGTAGGTATTTATTTATGTTAGTCAATCATACATTGAGAGAGGATAGTATCGCTCAGAGCTGGGCACTTTATGATCACGATTACATTTTGATTACTTAGGATTACGATTACTGTAATTGTAATTATAACATGCTCGATTGTGAATACTTTAATTGTTATCCCTAAAATTTAAATACTACGACTACTGTAGTCGTAATTGTGCTTTGTTTGCAAAAAGGTCGTACGACCGGTGTATTCTTGTCTAGAAAGCTTAAAGCGCGAATTTCTCATAAATGTTTTGTACAATTTTTATAAAAAATTGTGAGTCTATAGAGCATGCCGAAAGCTATCTTGGGAAGACCTAAAACTATTTCTACAGCAAATCTTTATATAAATTTTTTGGGCTGAAAGAAAGATTTGAGGCGCGATTTCTCACTTTTTTCTCTACAAAATTTCTATTAAAGTTTTTTTTTACTAAATGTGCCCGAAAATTATTGATCTGGACGGAATTTCTGACTGGTATATCCAACCGATGGTTGAAAGTTGCGCACAAAAATTCAGAAAAATTGAAATTTTTTTTTGCGGATGTCGAATTGATTTTTAATTTTTTATGAAAAGTGCAATTACATTTTTATTTTTTTGTAAAGATAAAATTTAAAAGTGGCCGATCGAAGGAACGTCTGCCATAGCATGGAATGATATTTAATTATTTTCAAATACCAATTAAAATTCGAATTAGAACGAAAAAAATTTCGATTTGTAGGATCGAAAATTTTGAGTCATTTTTCAAAAGTGCATGAAGCACGTATTTAATTTTGATGAAATCGACCAATAAAAAAATACGTATGCGCTTATTTTCCTAGTAGAATAATATACTAAAATTTCAAGTGATTCGGTGAGATAGGCGCAGTCGGTTTGCACGATTTGAGCTGGAATTGGTCCTATACAATTCACATTTTTTTTATATACATAAAAAAAAGACTGTTGCCGTGATCTTTGTGCGGAGTCGATTTGAACGAAATTTGAATGAATTGGTGGGAAATACCCAAAGAAGGTTGTTATATACCAGGGATCGATCTATAGGAAAAAAATCGTATTTGTGGTCCGATTTGCTGAAATTTAAGTAAATAATAAGCTATCCAACTGGATTATAATTATTATTAAGGGCCATAATAAGGAAGGATGACTTTTAAAGTAGCGCTTTTTGCCATAAATATCAAATGGATTGAATGTAGCACAAACAATCATGGCAATTCAATCTAAGATAGTAAAAAGCCTTTCGTAAGACAAACGAAACCCACATGACAGATTAGCTCGAAGGACTTTCTTTATTCCAGCACAAAATTCTTAGTAAAAAGCTCTCTCATTCACAACTCGTGGGTAGCGGAACTTTTGTTGTTTTTTAAATTTAAATATATTTCTTTTTTAATTAAATTTTCTTATAATTTCTATATTTTATGGTTCAAAAAGAAAAATAAATATTTTTTAAATTCATTTAATTTTTAGTACTCTCATTTTATGTATTTTTTATTTTAGATATTTTTTTTTGTTTTTGATTTCATTTAATCTTGAGGAACTTATTTTATTTTGTGCTTTCTTGAATAATTTTTTTTCCTTTCTTAGTTTAATTTGCTTTAAAGTTTTAGATTTTATTGTTTAAAAAAAGGATTTTTTCTTAATAATATCATTTAGTTTTTAGAAACTTATTTTATTTCTTTTTTGCTTTTTTTATTAAATTTCTTTTTCTTTTATTAAGTTTTAAATTTTATTTTTAAAAAAGAAAAGTATATTCCTATATATTAATTTTTTTCTTTTTTCAAATTTAATTTTTTTTATTAGTTTTTATTGTGTATATAAAAATACACATATGTACATATTTTTTTAATTTAATTTACTTTTTGAAAAGCTGATTGCTAATAGGCGAACAGCATAACGCTAATACCCCTTCGTTAGCAGATCTGTCAATTAGTCTTTCCAAAGACAGTAAAGAGCTTTGAAGATAGTTGCCAGAATTGACAATTGTCTAGCGGCAACTTTTTTCTTTCGAAAGAGTTGAAATATGGTTGCAAAACCGCCTTGTGATGAGCTAAGCTGCGCCTAGCGAGAACAACACTTTCACAGAGAATGACGAGGTTTCAGAGAGGGTGACTTCTTGTAGTGTGAGACCGTTAATCTGATATTTGAGCTTATAAAAAAAGCTGCTGAACAGAACTACACAAGTGCAATATATTAGTGGAATTCGCTCTTCTGTGTATTCATTGTTTCTTGTATAATTATATGAGAATGAGCGTGTAATTTGTTGTTGCTAGCAATACAATAAATACACACGCAATATCAATTACACGCTCGTCCACTTACGCATGCGCAAGTTACAACGAATACATAGAAACGCGAATTCCACTATTGCAAGAATAGACTTCTTAGTTTATTTAGAAGCATCGCTAGTAATATCAGCTCTGAAATCCAACGGATGATCATAATGCTAGTGCTAAGTTGAACTGGTTTTAAAAGCTTTCTGTTCTGTTCTTACGGCTGGCACAAAATAAAAGCGTTCGCTTGCCAACAAACGAAAGACAGATAAGGGCCGTGGGGCGTATACGCAACATCTTAAGGGGTCATATACATTTGTACGTATCGCACATTTGCTGCAAGAGTGTCATAATAAAAATTAAATTAGTAAAGTACGCAGAAATGACCGCTGCCTCTTCTTCTATGTTGTGTAAAAGCTTACTAGAACAAAATATGTAAGTTTTTACTATGTGAGTATATGTAATTTCGAAACTTTAAAGCTGTTTAAAGCTTTCTCAAGTTTTTGGTTTTTTTTTTTTGGATTATGACACTCCGGCAGCTAATGTGCGATTCGCGCCTTTGGTCGCAGGAAAACCAATATTTTTTTTGTAAACATGTTTCAGTAGTAAGTTCGGTGAATTGTTGGCTTTTGCTCGATAACGTCTGGTTTTTCCATACACATGATAGATGTACATATGAATAAGAAAAATTTTGCTTAAAAAAAAATTATGAAAATGGCCACTTATTTTTAACCGACTTCAAAAAAAGGAGGAAGTTATCAATTCGTCGGAGTATTTTCATTATTTTTTTATGCATATTACCGCATAGCTTTGGACCACGTGAACCCATTTCGATAATGTTTTATCAGAAAGGTGGTACGTCAAGAGTGGTCACATATTAATTTGGTTTAGATATGATCATTGGATCATGAAGAAATTAACGTCACACCAAAATTTTTGTATGAGAACTTGATGAAAGTCGGTTGTGTTTTTGCTTAAACATTACTTCTTTATAAATGAATAAGAATTTGAATGGACTTGTACTGAAAGTTTAATTATCGGACCAAGAAAATATTAATTTTTTTTTGAAAATAGGATTTTTTTTTTGTAAATAAAATTTCCTTCGTTCACGAAATAAATTGCCAAATTGGTTTTCTAGAAATCGTAAACACGATTACGATTCCGAAATAATTGACTTCTAAGTCACTCGGCAACGGTTTTAGCGGCGGTAGGTAGCACGCTATGAGGACCCATAACTTAACTTCTATTATCCCAATCTCGCTGAAATTATTTAAAAATATTGAATACAAATTTTTTGAAATTTTTTTTTGGGCGCAGCCAAAGTTTACATTATTACACTGACCAACAAAATTTCGCAACAGAGCTTTTGAGAGCTGATTCCAGTGGTATTTTTTCCGCAGACTAAGAATCGTGGATTTAGAATCTGCCCTTTAGATTATAAAAGTATCTCTAGTTTTCGAGATATTTGAAATCAAAAGTACCAAAAACCGCATTTTTCGCATTTGATTTTGTAGTGCAATACCGATGCAATTTGGAATTTTCTAAACAGCAGCAAAA